GCAGCAGTGGGGGTAGTGAGGAGGAAGACGACTTCCGGCAGGCGCGGGCCAGGAGGAGGCGGCGCGGCGGCGGCGGTGGTGATGGGGGGCGGCCACAGCTTGACGCGCAGCACTGGGATGGTCCCGGCACGTCGGAGGATGGGGGTGGTGACAGCGGGGACGAGGGCATGGCAGGGCTCGCTGAGGGCACACCCTTGGCGGCGGCGGCACAGCAGGGGGGCGCATTGATGGCGGCCGGGGGGTCGGCGGAGAATGAGGGCAGCGGCGGCGGTGGCGAGGGCAGCGGCGGCGGCGCGGGCCCGCCTGGCGGGTACCGCCCGCAGGTGGGGGCGCCTGCTGAGGACGACCTCCGGTCCTTTGGTCTGCATTCTGAGGCGGCGCTGGCCACGGTGCCGGACAATATGCTGGTGCGGGCCGCGGGGGATGACATCACCTTTGTGTTCAGCAACCAGGTCGCGGGGAAGGAGGTCGCGGCGCCGCCGCCGGCGGGGGCTGCAGCGGGCGCTGGCGTCGCGGCCAAGGGTGCCACGACGGCGGGGGCGGGCGGCGTCCCCAGGGCAGCGGGGGCGGCAGCGGGGCAGGGCCAGGGGGGTCCGGGTGGCGCCCTGAGAGTGCAGCCGGCGGCACAGGCGGTAGCAGCGACGGCGGCCGCGCCCCTGGCCGACGCAGCGAGTAGGGTGAACGTGCAAGCCGCGGCGGGTCCGGCAGGCATGACACCCGCCAAGCAGCAGAAGCAGCAGCACCCGCAGCGGCAGCTGCCGGTGGCGTCGACAGCCGCAGGTGGGGCGCTGCACAAGCGCCCCCGGCTGCTGGCCGGGGCGCGGCTCGTCGCGCGGCCGCCGCCGATGGATGAATCCGGGTCCGACGACTTTGTTTGACCAGAGGCTTGGCGTTGTTGATGGTCTGTTGCGCATGTGACGTGTGTGCGCTCTCGTATCTGTTGGTTGTCCCGTTGAGAGGTGCTGTGTTGATCTGTGAGTGCTGAAGGTTTCACACTTTGGGGGTGTTGGGGTTGTGTTGGCGTGGCGGCATCATGCTTGCTTCGATAAGCAAGGCCTTGCTCATCGTCAGCTTACTGCCACAATTTTGTTGCTTGCTGAGCGCCACGGCAGAGTGGCAGCCCCTTGCTTGTCAGGCCCAGGGCGCCAGGGTGTAAGGGTACAAGCCCTCCCAGGACACGGCTGAAATGACACTGCTGGGAGAGTAGGGCGGGTGGCCGCTCGGCACTGGAACAGCAGTCTCCACGAGATGCCTATCAAGCGCGCGCGCCACAACTGCGCTGGGCGGTTGGTGTATGCCTCAGTATGCATGCCAGGCAGCGGATGCGTGGCGCACGTTTGAGGTTGTTTTACTGACATGGGGTTGGTCCTGGCACGTTTCTGTCTGGAGTTCAGGGCTCTGCGGTGGGTCACAAGTGGGGTTGGTGCGCTTGACCTTCTACTGCCGCCTTGACCATTTGGTGTTTTGCGTTTGATGCGCTTCCATATACACGGGCCTGCTTGAAAGTCAAGGCGTCACAGGGCTGGTCCTCCTTGGCAGACAGGCATACTCAGGAACAACAGATCGTTTCATGCAGGCCTGTAGCCACGACAGGATTAGGATTAGGATTAGGATTAGGATTAGGATTAGGATTAGGATTAGGATTAGGATTAGGATTGTTACAGCGTCCCGCGGTCGCCCGCTCCTGGAGCCATCCAGGCTCATGGGATTGTACAGTAAAGCACCAACGTTGTGTGACTGATATTCAGGTGGCGACAGTCATGAAAAACCCCACCCTACAGCCAAGCAGAGACGAAGCGCGGCTTTCTGCCCAATTCTTTTTACTCAGTCCCTGAACTGTTGGCAGCTGCAGGCTGCGAGACAGGCACTCAGTGCAGGAGGCGGGTTGGATCAGTTTCACAACCAGCTTGAGAATCCAGCATACTTCTCCAGACTCACCAGCCCAGCGGCTTGGAATGTCGAATCACAAGGCATGCATCTTGCGGCAAGCCTCAAGATGCCCATGAGGCTGGTTTTTGAATAACACGAGGATTGAAGCATCCTGGTAGTTGGGGCATGGGTCTGTGGAAAGTGCCAGGGTGGACCGCACAGAGGGATGCTGCTTGGGCCCCAACAGAAGCACGGCCCGCGCACAACCCCAAACCTTGCGTACAGCACAGCCCCCCACCCCCCCCCCCGGGGGCCGCAAGCCACCGCAGCCTGTGGACCCCGCCGACAAGATGGGCCGCTGCTCAGGTGCTCTGCATGAAGGATACTCCTCTGACCAAATCTTCCGCTTGGGCCAACCCATACGGGGTCTCTGAACGCGCGCTACCACGTCGTTGCTGCATAACAGCATGAGTCTTGTTCATTGCACGGTCCGACCCTTGGACGCACATCTGCTCAATGGGGAAACGGGGGCCACCAGCCGTTTGTCGGCTGAAAATAGGCGTTACAGTATGGATCGCCGCATAATACATCACACAAAGCGAAAACGGTTCAGCGAACGCGCGCCATCCGGCATGGCAGTTTGAAGCAGTCGTGAGCAGCCCTCGGGTCCGCCCCGCGCTGCTGAGCCTACAGCCACGGATTTGCAGTGTCAGGGCGCCTATTGTTGAGCGCGCCGTCATCCCCGCGGCTCCACCGACGAGCGCGCACGCGCGAGGCCTTTGTCGCTCTAACCCAGGTCCCAAATGGCACGCGGCGCCAACGCTTGTGGCTGCCCACGTTCAGGCGACAGACAGGCGGCAAGAAAAATGGTTGGGAGGAAGGATACAAAGCAGCAACCGCGCGCGGGCGCGGGCGCGCGGCCCCCGTGCGCACGTCACCGGGGGGTGCCAACGTGAAGGGCCGGCGTCCCGCGCCCGCGCAGGCGGCCTGGGGTGGGTTCAAGATGTAGTGTATTGGGTTGGGGCGGTGGGCACCCGCCGCCGGCGCCGCTGGACTCCTCCCACTCTGTGCCGCCCCGCGGCCCCGCGCAAGCCAGCCCTGGCCTCTCGCATACCCGAGCGGTCCTCAAGCTGTGCGGCGGCCGTCGTCCCTCTCGGACGATCACTCCTGACCAAGGACGCGCCCTCCCGCCGCTCAGGGGGCCGGCTTTGCGGCCGCGCCGCCCTTCTTGGGCCCGGCCACGTCGAAGGCCTTGAGCAGGCCGTCGAGGGTGTGCAGCTCCCCCAGGCTGGCGAGCTGGCTGACGTTGAACACGGTCAGGCCGGCGGGCTTGTCGGCGCCCAGCTTGGACAGGTCCAGCTGC